CAAACATTATTTGCAGTGATAGAGTAGTATTATTCGGAATGTCTTATCATCCAACCGCAACACGAATGGAATGTCGCACCATCATCAATGAAGTGGAAATTACCTTACATTTCCTGCTGATTTTGAAGATGGATTTAGTATGGCTCAGGTAATTTAGTTTTAAACTGTTGCATGCAAGTTTTGAATGTTATTTTTGCATTTAGGCGAGGCACATACGAATCCTTATCTGCAATATGTTGAAGTCCAAAACTGAGCTCAGACCGAGCGTTGGAGAAATAATGCGTGACAGCCTTGTCTCTCTCGTTGACTATGAAGACAAGCAATTCAAGGTCTGAACCATCATGCTTCCGGTAAGCATCTTATCTGCCGTTCGTTGTCTTTTTTTTTGAAAACAAGTAGATCTTCAGGTTGATCTCCGACAAAATTTTGCCGTTATTGCGCCAGGACATAAACCGCATGAAACGTTACTTCTTCGATCGATTCTATGCCTGCTGTAGTGAGAAAGGTATTGTTGTTCTTAAAGTTTATCTACTTTGCAGTCGCCTTTTTTCTCAAAGGGGCATCCGGTGGAAGGATGGGGTGCTCTGTCGACACCGTTGGTCTAACCACGGGTGCGACTACTTTACCCGCAGATCTACTTACTTTAATTAGGGAAATAGCCTTTAAGATTCTGGGCGAATTCAAATGCATATTGAGGCAATCCTTGCTTTTCTATTTTGAAACTTCACTTTCTTTTCAACAAAGTTAATATAAGGATCGGTTATATGAAGCTAATTGAAGCAGCCATGAAGCACATCGGAATCAAACCTGAAGTAGGCCTCTTGGAAAGAATGAAGACAATGGCCCAATTCATTGTCCTGCATCTATGGCATCATCACCTTTTCAAATCGTTCCATGGTTTATTTAGCTCAATCCATTTGCCGAAGATCACGAATCAATAGGAGAGCATATCGGAGATCCATTAGCTCGCAGACTCCTTGCCACGCTGCCTAAGGATGCGTCGCTCTCCGTTTTCAAGGTATCTTTAAACTATTTTCGTCATAATCAAAAGCCATTGAAAAACAAACATCGTTTTATTTCAGGAGAAATGCAAGGGTATGTTACGTTCGAAAAATGAGAAAGTGAACGAATTTGCAAATTGCTATTTCAGAGCTAGAACATATTATGGCTTGTATACGGTAAGTTTTCTTCCAATTTTTCCTTTTCAAACAGTCGAATTTACGGAA